GGGCTGGCGGGTCCTGGCTGCTCGGGTACCGGGATGCTGAGCTGGATGCAGGAATGGGCCTGATCCAACCACGCACAAACCAGCATCATCCCAATGCTGCGTTGTGTGTGTGTCCCCCACCTCCCTTTGGCTGCTCCCCAGCCCTCGGTGGCCTTTCTGTGCTGTGGGCAGGGTGTGAGGGCCTGGGGGTCCCCAGTTCCCCCCCTCCCGCATCGGGAAGCAGAGGCCGGTGGGGGAGGGATGCGCTGCAGCTGGGCAGAAGCTGCCGACGCTGCTCTCCTGGAAATAACCTTGCTGCATGCTCGGAGGCAGTGGGAGAAATTGCTGAGCAGAGCGCTTTCTGCACAGCCCGCGCTGTCAGCACAGTGGGGCCGAGCTCTGCCCCTGCCACGCAGCCCCCTCCCCACCGCAGGCACCCCCAGACCTTGTGGGACACCCAACAGCGGCCGCTCGCCCTGGGCTGGGGGTCCCACGGGTGGGAGATCCCATGGGCAAGGACCTAGGTTTAGGGATGCTCGGCTGCAGCTGGGGTGGGTGTCATGCACTGGTGAGCCCGGCCGTGCATTGACACCAGCCCCCTGACAGCCCCCACTGCCACCAAGGGGGAGGACGTGTCCTCTGAAGCAGGACAAGGGCCGGTCACACAAAGCAGGAGACCACTGGGACCAGTTTGGGGGACCTGGGGTGGCCGCATGTCCCACGGGGACACTGGCCCTGCAGGGATAGGACTGCACTGCTCCTCCTGCAGTGACCTTCATGTGCCAGCACGGAGGGATGGGGATGCCCACACGGTGCCAGCTCTGCCAGGGTCAGGAGTGGGGCCATGAGCAGGCCTGCACCAATGTCACACAGGGGTGACACTACTGGAGCAGCACCTGAGCTCCTTTCTGTGCCTGGGGGCTGCGGGTCCCTCTCCTCAGTGCGAGCCCATGGCCCCGGTGCCGCTGCCCTCCAGGAGCTGCCTCGGATCAGCCCCAATGGGGGTCAATGGGAGCATGGGGGCCTTTCCCATGCCCTTTGCTGCAGAAGGGAAACCCAGGGTGAGGTTTCCCCGCTCTCCCGGTGCCGGCGCTGGACGGAGCAGAGCTCATTACGCTGAACAATGAGGCTCTGCACCGACAGCTGTGCGGCGGCGGGCGGCCCCCGGGGGCTGCTGCGGCACCCGGGCAGCAGCAGCTGAACCTCCCGCATCCCCATCCCGCTCCCATCCGGGGCAGCCCCGCGGGATGGACCCATCCTGCTCCAGATGTGGGGCAGAGCCAGCCCCTGGGTGCGCGAGGCAGCTCCGGTGCTCAAGGGCAGCCCCACGGGATGGACCCATCCTGCTCCAGATGTGGGGCAGAGCCAGCCCCTGGGTGCATGAGGCAGCGCCGGTGCTCAAGGGCAGCCCCGCGGGATGGACCCATCCTGCTCCAGATGTGGGGCAGAGCCAGCCCCTGGGTGCGTGAGGCAGCTCCGGTGCCCTGCGGCTGAGCGGGGACAGGGACCAGTGCAGGGGGGGCACAGCCCTGGTTCCGCATCCCCAGTGGGCACTTTTGGCTGTGGCATTTCCCCATCGCCGATGGGGCTGGCCCGGAGTGACGGTGACCCCACTGTGTCGCCCCTGCAGGGTACCTCCAGCACTGCCTGGCACCATCTGGCTATGACACCGACAAGAAGCAAGGGCTGCCACCGCCGCCACCAGACCCGGCCTATGCCCCGGGCCACGAGGAGTACAGCGACCCCGAGAGCCCCCAGTCCAGCTTCTCGGCCCGCTACTTCAACGGGGAGGCCGCAGTGACGGACAGCTACTCCATGGATGCCTTCTTCATCACGGACGGGCGGTCGCGCCGGCGCAGCGAGAGCCAGCGCCGCGGCAGCCACCGCCACTCCTGCCCCGAGTGCGGCAAGACCTACGCCACGTCCTCCAACCTGAGCCGGCACAAGCAAACCCACCGCAGCCTGGACAGCAAGATGGCAAGGAAATGCCCGACCTGCGGCAAGGCTTACGTGTCCATGCCCGCCCTGGCCATGCATGTCCTCACCCACAACCTCAAGCACAAGTGCGACGTGTGCGGCAAAGCCTTCAGCCGGCCCTGGCTGCTGCAGGGCCACATGCGCTCGCACACCGGGGAGAAGCCCTTCGGCTGCTCCCACTGCGGGAAAGCCTTCGCCGACCGCTCCAACCTGCGCGCCCACATGCAGACCCACTCGGCCTTCAAGCACTACAAGTGCAAGCAGTGCGAGAAGACCTTCGCCCTCAAGTCGTACCTCAACAAGCACTACGAGTCCGCCTGCTTCAAGGGCTCCGAACACAGCTGTGCAATAGGGAACTAGCCCCACAGCCCCCTGTGGCACATCCGCATCCCTATCCCTATCCCCATCCCCATCCCCATTTGCATCCCTATCCCATCCCCATCCTTAAACCCATCCCCATCCCTATCCACAGCCCCATCCCAACCCTCATCCCCATCCCTGTCCCCATCCCAGTCCTGGTCCCCGCGCCAGCACTCCTGCAGCTGCAGCCAGCCCAGTTGTGGCTGTGTTGTGGCTGGAGGATGCATCCCCACAGACTCACTCCCCACCTAGGGGAGGGTATCCCAGCGCTCCTGGGAAGGGCTGGATCCAGCCCGCAGGTCCCTGAGCCCCCCCGCAGCCAGGCAGGTCTCTCTGCGGGGACCTCAGGACCTCCTCCAGACCCAGGAGAGACTTTTCCTCCCCTCAGCTCCTGGCTTTCACCCCTATTTATTTAATTTATTACCATTATTTATTTAGAGCTGCTGCTTCTCCTCCCCGGGGGACCCCGGGGGAGAAAAGACACTTTTCTGCTCCCCCGTCCCAGGAGCAAAACCTCACCTTGACCCCTAACACTGATGGGACCATGGGCTGGCACTACTAATGGCTCAATGGGACTGATGGATGCTGCGGCTGGGCTGTGGGTCACCCCTGGAGTCTGGGGTCCCTGCAGCCCACTGCACAGGCCCCTGGGGCACCCTGATGCCCTTGGCCAGCACGATCCCACGGGACGTGGCCCTGCGGTGCTCGCCTTGGCACTGTGGGTCCATAGCCCTAGGGAGAGCAAGGGGCCCCCAGCAGAGCCCCGGGGGACACATCCCTTGCTGGCTCCCAGCTTGGGCAGGCACAACTGGGCCCTGCCATGGTGATGGGCTGGGGAACAGCCCCCCCGGGCCAGTGCAGCCTCCTTGCTGTGCAAACAGCCAGGCTGGCAACGGGGCTGAACAGCGAGCCCTGGGGCAGCACCTAAACCCCCAACCACCTCCCATGACCCCACAGCCCAGACCCCTTGCCAGCCCCCCATACCCATCGCCCCCCACCTGCGCTCAGGAGGAGGGGTCAGTGTAGCCGTCAAGTTTGGGTGAGTCTATTTATATTATTCTTATTTATATTATTTATAACTTATGCTTTTCACTATTTATTTGCCAAGACTGGCAGGGCCGTGCCAGCGCTGGAGGCGGCAGAGCTGCAGCAGAGCCGCCGTCCCCAGGACACAGCCACGGTGACACGGATGGGGACGGCACCCCGAGAGCGGATCACGCAGCAGGCCCAGAGGCAGGAGGAACCCGGGGGGGCTCTGCGCCCTGCAAGCCTCCTCCAGAGGCAAAGCCCTTCTCCCTTTGTCTGCCTCGCTGCTCCCTGCCCCGCGCCACCAGCGGGGGACAAACCAGCCCCATTCTATGCAACGTCCCAGCGGAGCATCCCTGGAGCAAGCGCCGTGCGTGCGGCATCCCCGAGCGGGGCCCGACCCGCGCCTCCGCTTCCTACCTCGGGTCGCGAGCAGCCACCACCCCGTGCCGGTACCCGGTACCTTCGGGCTCCAAGCCCGGCACCCCGCGGGGCTCGCGTTCCCCACACACGCAGTCTTCCTCCCTGCAACGTCTTCCTCCCGCCGCCTCGGTGCTCCCGTTGCTCGCAGGCTCCGCGCCTCCCCGGGGATGTCCCTGTCACGGTCCTCGCTACCGTGGTCCCCCCCTTCCATCACCCCGCGCAGAGCCGCGGCCGCGCAGGCAGCCACAACGCGCAGCAGCAGCAGCAGCGCAAGGCTTCCCCCGGCGGTGCCGGCGCGGCCCCGCGCCTCTGCCCCCGTCTCTCCTGTAAATAGCAGACACTACAGCAATAATTTTCCGTGCATGATGATAGATTTTTTCTGCCAGGTTTTGTACTCGCCAGCCCCCAGTAGGAGAAATCCACTGAGAACCGGCCGCCCGCAGTATTACTTGTAACGCAATTCAGGGATATAAAAGGGATTTCTGCCACTAACCGCTTGTCTCGGGGCATTTATACCAGGGGGGGAGAGTGGGTGGTGGATCCCCGCCGTGTCCCCAGAGCATCACCTTCCCCAGGCCAAGGGGTGGATGCGTCCTGGCACCCGGAGCACCCAGGACTGCCGGCCTTGCCTTGCCTTGCCTTGCCTTGCCAGCACCAGCAGGAGCCACACATCCCCTGCTGCGGTGAGCGGAGCGCTGGGAAGGGAGCATCGCCCTGCCTGGGAATGCGGCAGAGCAGTGACCTGGAAGTAAAGCGCCGTGTGAAACCCTGGCAGCGGGGCTCAGAGCCCGGCAGGCGGCCTCGGGGGTGGGGGGGGAGGCAGGGATGGGACTCAGCTGTGATGGATGGGGAGGATTTGGTGCTTGCATCCCCTCCTGCCCGCACAGAGGCACAGATGGGGCAGGCGGGAGGAGCTCCTGGTCCCCACTCGCTGCCTTCCCTCCCCATGGATGGGTGCCAAAGGGGAAAGGTGAGTTATTTGGGGCCTCCAGGACATCAGCAAAGCCGCGGCTGAGCCCTGTGCTCCCGGTGACATCGGTGCTGCCCCTCAGGCACAGTGATTCACTGTGAAGTCACCACCGGCTTCACCCTGACAAAATCTCACCCTGCAGCTTCATAAACCGGTCCCTGACCATCCCCATCCCTGCTCCAGTCACACCCAGTCACACCGGTGTGCTTCTGACTCAGTGCTGGGGCTGGGGACCCTCCGTGCCCCCTGGGAGCCAGGCTGAGGGGACCAGGAGCTGCCATCCATCAGCGTCATGGATCCAGGCTGCTGTGGTTGCAGCCACCAGTGGGACACGAGACCCAGCTCTTCCCAGGAGCCTCTGCACCATTTGGAACACTGGGCTGGAGAAATGACCTAGAAAGATTCAGAGCCGGAATGCTGCGGTGTGTGCCTGCCTGCAGAGCATCTGCGCTGCACTGCTCAGCTCTGGGGCTGCTCTGTGCCTCCTCTTCCTCACCGAGGACCCCATGGGCATCAGTGCAGCAGGGGTGGGTGGGGGCAAATCCCATCTCCTATGAGATGCTGCAGGCTGAGCCTTAGTGCCCCACTTGGCCAGGCAGGAGCAGAGACCCCCCCCGGGCAGCCCCCAAGCAGCATCAGATACCCCCAGCACATGGAGCAGCCACGGAGAGGGGCTCATCCCTACCGGCAGCCTCGCCGGGGCAGAGAGCAGCGGGCACCGGGCCAGGCCGTGCTGGCACCGGGCCCGCAGCCGGTCCTGCCCCTTCACTGTGACTCTGCAAAACCTCGGGGCGGGCGCGGTGGCGATGACGGCGGTGATGGCCGGGCCGGGAGGAAGTAAAGGAGCCCGGCTGGGCGCTGCCCTGCTCGGGGTGGAGCGGTGCGCTCGGCCGGGCCCGCAGCAGGAAGGACGAGGCCAGCTCCGGGCAGCAGCAGCAGCAGCAGCCATGGCCGAGCCCGAGGACCAGAGCATCCACACGCAGCACATCTCGGCCGTGCACAACGTGCCCATGCGCGTCCTCATCCGGCCCATCCCTGCGCAGCTGGAGCCGGACAAGGTGCGGAGCCTGATGGAGACCCTACAGGTGAGCGGCCCCGCTCCTTCGGGACCCCTCCACCGTGATGGGGACCCCCGGCACAGGCGGTGGCGGTGTCACCACCGGGGGGTCTCTTGTCCTTGGCAGGAGGACCCCGAGCGGGTGCCCCCCATTGACGTGCTCTGGATCAAGGGCACCCAGGGCGGGGATTACTTCTACTCCTTCGGGGGCTGCCACCGCTTCGCCGCCCACCAGGCGCTCAACCGGGAGACCATCCCCGCCAAGATCATCCCGTCCACGCTCAGCGACCTCCGCACGTACCTGGGCTCTTCCACGCCGCTCCTGCGCTAGCCCGGGGCACCGGCGCGGCGGCGACAGCAGGTGGCGCTGTTGTGACGCGCTGAGCGGGTACCGACCGCTGGGACAGGGACGGGACGGACTGGGATGGACCGGGATGGGATGGGATGGACAGGGACAAGATGAGCAGGGATGAAGAGAGGATGGGAGAGGATGGACGAGGACGGGATGGGATGAACCGGGAGGGAACAAGACGAGATGGACCAGGTTGAACCGGGATGGGATGGGACGGGACAGAATGAACCAGGATGAGACAGGATGAACTGGGATGGGATGGGATGAACTAGGATGAAATGGGACAGGACAGGCTGAACGGGGATGGGTTGTGTTGGGATGATCTGAGACGGTCTGAACCAGGACGGGATAGGACAGACTAAACCGGGTCATAGCTCAATGGGGATGGGCTCAACCAGGACGGGACGGAGTGAACCGGGGCACAACTCAACCAGGAATGGCTGAACCGGTACGAGTTGAACCGGGGCACACCGGAACTGGGCCAGGTCGCAGCCCATCCAGGGCACCGCGGAACGAGGAAGGGACAAGGGCAAACCGGGACACAGCCAAAGCAGGACGCAGCCGTACCGGGAGGAGGCACAGCTGAACCGAATGGCCAGGCTCCACTGAGTCTGGGCTCACCCTGTGCCTGCCCCGAAACCTTCCTGTCCCCATCCCTGGACACATCCCATGGGGACACCCCTGCTCCACCTGGAATAAAGGCAATCAAACCCCACAGATCTGGGGCCTGGTGTAGGGGGAACGTGCTCTGCAAAGGGACAGATGCTTGGGACTGGATGCTCCACAAGGGGATGGATGCCGTATTCTCTGCCAGACCGCCCTGCCATGCAGCTGAAGCCAAGGTCAGCTCTCCCATGGGAGCACATGTGGTCCCACCACGCTGCGATGCTGTCACTTCTGCAAACGGCCACGTCTTCACCCCATGTGCAGGCTGGAAAACCCGCCCTGAGCATCCCCTGGGTACCTCAGCATCCCTTTGAGCCGGGAACCCCGGTCCAGGGAGGGGAAAGGCCACTGACTCACCCCCTACACTGTGAATCAGCAGGACTGGGACAGGAACCGCAGCCGGACATTCTGCCCTCGCTCTGCTCCCTTGGCCACGCTCCTTCCTGATGGATCCTGCCCTGACACGGCAGGAATGGGCTGGGAGAAGAGCACAGCCACGCAGGCAGGAGCTGGCGCTGCCGCCCGTTGGTGATAGCACAGAGCCAAGGGAAGAGGCTGGATGGAGACTCCGGCTCCGTGTGCGGCATCCGAGCGGTCTCCGTCGGGAGGAAGCCCTGGAAGCGCTCATGGAGCGGGGAGCCCCGGCCCTGGCTCCCGGATGGGCCGTAAATTCCTCCGAAGGATCCTGGCGTGCTGCAAAGCTTCCTCTTGTTACAGGGCTGGGGGAAAGGGAGGAGGTGGCAGCTCCAGCGGCAGCGCGGCACCAGGGTGCCCATGGGTGGGTGCCCCATGGCAGGGACTGGGATTTGCCCCCCAGTGCTGAGCATCTCCCATGGGCTCTGCTCATCCCCATCCCCCTGGCTTTGTGTCCCTCACAAAGGGAGCTGGGTGGGAGGCAGCTCCGCAAAGCTGGGACCCCATGAGAAGGGATGAACCAGCTCCTGCCCCCCCTTCCTTGCACCCCATGGGGCTGGGATACCCTCTGCAGGATCCATCCTTCCAGCATCCCATCCCCTTTAACCAGTGCCAGGATTATCCATGCCAGCCCCATGGGACACCGCTCCAGGGCTTGGTGGCACCGGTTGGACCCAGGACCGGTCGCTGTGTCCCTGGGGCTCTGTGAGCATCCCCAGGGCTGGCGGTCACATCCCGGGGCTGGCAGGGGGCAGGCAGCATGAGCTGGTCCCCATCCATCCGGTGCTGCCGGTGCCACAGCCCTGGCACAGGATCGGGTCTCACCAGTGCCGGCGACCCCGCACCGGCTCCCTGTGTCCGTGTGTCCATCCTCCACCTGTCCCCCTTGCCTCTGCCTGACCCGGGGCTCTCCGGTGTCGCCGCTGACAGCCGATCCCGGCTGCCTCCAATCCATTCGTTCCAGGGCAGGAACAAAGGCGCTTTGTGGGCTCCCCCCGGTCCTGCCTCCGGAACTGGGGCAGACTTCCCCCCGCGACAGGCATGTAATGCCTTCCAGACCCACAGCCCGGCCCGCAGGTACAGCCCCCTGCGGGGAGGGGGCCTGGGGCGCCCCACACTGCCCCGGGGACACCCCACGGGGGCCAGGCAGGGACCGCATCCAGGGTCACCCCTCCTGGTTCCATTGAGCCCTTTTTGCTCTTCCTCCCCATACAGGGGGGCTTCGGGGGCTCCCAGGTTTGCTGGTCCTGGGCTCCCTGTGTTGGCAAGAAGGGCCAGACCCGGCCGTTCCCATGAGCTGGGGATGGTTGTGGGGTGAGGGTGAGGGGGGCCAGGCAGCACCTTCAGGGGTCTTGGTGGGATGGGCTGGGAAGAGATGTGATGGGATTAGATGGGATCGGATGGATGAGATGAGGGAGGATGGGATCGGATCAGGTGGAGTGGGATGGGATGGATTGGGTGGGATATGATAGGATGGGATATGATGGGATGGATTGAATGGGATATGATAGGATGGGATATGATGGGATGTGATGGATTGGATGGGATATGAAGGGATGGGATATGATGGCATGGGATATGATGGCATGGGATATGATAGGATGGGATATGATGGCATGGGATATGATAGGATGGAATATGATGGGATGGATTGAATGGGATATGATGGGATGGGATATGATGGGATGGGATATGATGGGATGGGATATGATGGGATGGGATATGATGGGATGGGATATGATGGGATGGGATATGATGGGATGGGATGGATTGAATGGGATATGATGGGATGGGATATGATGGGATGGGATATGATGGGATGGGATCTGATGGGATGGGTCGGGTCAGCCCAGCCCTGCTTCCCCAGGGCTCAGCAGGGTCAGACCCAGCGTCCTGCAGGCCACATGTGCCGGCGCTGCCGTGGGTCTGGAATCCATTTGCCTCGCCGGCAGCGGTGTTTTCCCAGCAGGGCCCGAGCAGCCCCCGGGGGCTGGGGGCAGCCCCGGCCCCGGCCCATCTGCTCCCGCTTTGTTTTCTTACACTTAAGCATCACCTCGCTCATAAACACTCCCCAGGACAGGGGGCAGGGGGCACTTCCCTGCCAGCAGAGCCAGGACTTGGCCCCCCGGTACCCAGCACCCAAACCCAGCCCTAAGGTTGCCCCTCCATTGGGTACCCTCAACCTGGGGGTGCCTGGTGGGGTGGGTGCTGAGGCCATGTCCCCTCCATGCCACACATCCCATGCAGGGTCCCATCCAACCCCTGCTTTCCATCCATGCCCATCCCATGGTGCTGCCTGCTCCATGCCCAGGGCTGCGAGCTGTGGCACTGGAACAGCAGCCGGTTTTATGTGCCTGGATCCACTGGGAGAGCTGGGATGCCAAACACAGGCGCATCCTGGCGCCCGCTCAGGTTTGTGATGCTGCAGCCTCGCATGCACACCCCCATACTCACATATACCCATGTGCACACATGCATGGCTATATGCATCCGTGCACACATGCCTGTACATGAGTGGATGCACATGTGGATACATGAACATCCACACATATGGATACATGAACATCCACACATATGGATACATGAACATCCACACATATGGATACATGAACATCCACACATATGGATACATGAACATCCACGCATATGGATACATGAACATCCCACATATGGATACATGAACATCCACACATATGGATACATGAACATCCACACATACGGATACATGAACATCCACACATACGGATACATGAACATCCACACATATGGATACATGAACATCCACACATACGGATACATGAACATCCACGCATATGGATACATGAACATCCACACATATGGATACATGAACATCCACACATATGGGTACATGAACATCCACACATATGGATACATGAACATCCACACATATGGATACATGAACATCCACACATATGGGTACATGAACATCCACACATATGGATACATGAACATCCACACATATGGATACATGAACATCCACACATATGGATACATGAACATCCACACATATGGATACATGAACATCCACACATATGGATACATGAACATCCACACATATGGATACATGAACATCCACACATATGGATACATGAACATCCACACATATGGATACATGAACATCCACACATATGGATACATGAACATCCACACATATGGATACATGAACATCCACACATATGGATACATGAACATCCACACATATGGATACATGAACATCCACACATATGGATACATGAACATCCACACATATGGATACATGAACATCCACACATATGGATACATGAACATCCACACATACGGATACATGAACATCCACACATATGGGTACATGAACATCCACACATATGGATACATGAACATCCACACATACGGATACATGAACATCCACACATACGGATACATGAACATCCACACATACGGATACATGAACATCCACACATATGGATACATGCCCTAACGTGCACATGCATGTGGTTCCCCCCCCACTGCTGCTGTGTACCCACATGTCCCATCCTCCATAGCAGCAGCACAGGCTACCAGCGCCCCACACATGGCCATGCCCCCCCCCCCCCCAGAAGCCCCAGTGCTCCCCCCAGCCTGTCCCCGTCAGCTGGTGGCCATGTGTGGGGCGGCGCAGCTGAGTACACAGCCCCTGCCATCCGTCTTGCTGCCTGTCAGGGCTGGGGGCTGCTGCGGCCCCCCCAGCCCCGGCCCAGCGGGACACCAGGGCGAGAACAGGGCAGGAGCCGGGGGTCCCCTCTCTGCACCGGCACCTGCGGGCTCCCTGCCTGCATGCAGGCCCTGCTCTGCCCCTCTGCAGGGGTAGGAACAGCCCCAGGCAGGGGCTATTGCCAGGGTTAAGGTGAGGTGGGGAGCAGCAGGAGATGCAGCTGGCAAGGGCCATGCGGATGCCCCCAGCCCCAGCAGGAGCTCCAGCCCCCAGCACAGCCCTCTGCCCCCCACAGTGTGATTTACAGGCTCTGCAACGGCAGACAAATGGTGAAGGAAAACAGGGCAGGGGTCCCACGGTGAGGGGCTGCCTGTGCCCCACGGGGGGGACAGGGGCCGTTTGCTCGCAGCCAGTGGGATCGATGGGCAGCGGAGCAGTGCTGGTGCTGGGCAGCATAGACACTAGGACATGGCCCCAGCAGCAAAGCCAGCCCCAGAGCCCCACACATGAGCTCCAGTCCTGCAGCCACGGGGCTTTGGCCATGGGCCACGTCCTTGGGAGCCGGGTCCTGCCCTCGCCTCGCCTTTGCCATGCCCGGAGCATCGCCAAGGCACCGGGGCAGGGGAGGAAGGCGGGCAGGAAACCTCCCTCCTGCTTGCTTGGCCCAGGTGGCTGCCCCCAGCCTGCTCCGGGGGTGCTGGGCTTGGGGCTGGGAGGTGAAGGCAGAGCAGGACCCACACAGACACCCTCGGTGAGGAGGAGCAGGGGGTGACCACCGGTTGTGGTATTGGGTGCCCAGGAAGGCCCAGGAGCCACCCACAGGGACACCGGTGCTGCGGTTGCTGCCAGCTCAGTTCTCCCATCGCAGGAAAAGCCTTTGAGGCCCCACTGCCGGTGCACACCGGAGGGAGGAAATGCTCCTGCTGCCCTGCAGTGCTGCCTGCGACACTGCCGTGCCCTTGGCCATGTCCCCGCTGCGGGCAGGAGGGTCCAGGCCCTGCGGATGGAGGGACAAGGGATGCAGAGCATCCCTATGGGGCTGCCCACCCCGGGCATCCTCCTGGGCACAGACCCCACCCCAGCAGAGCCCAGCAGGGTGTCAGAGCAGTGCGTCCCCCTCCAATAAACACCCTGGGGACTGCACCGGTGCCACCCACTCCTGGGCACCAGCCCCATCCCATCTTTGGCGGGGGGGGTTTGCCCCGTGCAGGACCCAAGGCTGGGAACACAGCACCCATGGGTGGCATCACCCGCAGCGCATGGAGGATGAGGAATGCAGCTCAGGGAGCGCTTCCCATGCGGTGCCAACGGCAGCGGCACCACCGGTACCACCACGGGCAGGACCCGGAGCCCGGTGCAAGGTGCGCGGGGCCCTGGAGCGGGGCCGGGCCCCTCGGCCGCAGCCAGCGCTGGCTCCTGAGGGCCGGGGCGAGGACACGGCCCTGGCCGGAGGCGCTGGGGGCCGGCTGGGGGTGGGCTCCGGCTCCAGCCCCTCCCCGCCCGTATAAACCCCGGGTCCCCCCCGCAGCCGCTCGTCCCAGCCCTGCTCGGCCGCCGGAGCGGAGCAGCCGAGGGAAGGCGCCCGGCAGCGGCCGTGTCGGCAGGGGAAGGGTCCCCGCAGCCCCGGGGGGTGCCCCCAGCAGGGCCTTGGGGGGCAGGGGCGGGCACCCCACCATGGCCTTCACCATGCTGCGCCCCGTGGCCGCCCGCGTGCTCTACCCCGACCTCAGCATCCTCTCGGAGGACGAGGAGAACCGGAGCGAGAGCGACACGTCGGACCAGTCGTTCGGGTGCTGCGAGGGCGCCGAGGCTCGCCGCAAGCTGCCGCGCAAACCGGGGCCCATGGTGATGGTGAAGCAGAGGCAAGCGGCCAACGCGAGGGAGCGGGACCGGACCCAGAGCGTCAACACGGCCTTCACCGCCCTGCGGACCCTCATCCCCACCGAGCCCGTGGATCGGAAGCTGTCCAAGATCGAGACCCTCCGCCTGGCTTCCAGCTACATCTCCCACCTGGCCAACGTGCTGCTGCTGGGAGAGGGCTGCGAGGACGGGCAGCCCTGCTTCAGTGCCATCTACGGGGCCAAGGGCGACCTGGACAGCAAGCAGCCCCGCAGCATCTGCACCTTCTGCCTCAGCAACCAGCGGAAAGGGGTGAGCGGGGCGCTGGGGTGGGGGTCCCCGGGGGTCCCTGCGCTGAGGGGCTTGGTGGGAACCGCAGGCTCCGGCTCCAGCTCCCGCTGGAGGCTTTGGCTGCTCCCGGCCAAGCGCTGCTCGTAGCCGCACGCCCACAGCTCCCGCTCGCGTCAGAGGGCAGGGCTGCTCCCCCACGTCCGTCCGGGATGGGAGGTCTCGGGGGGGTTAAAGTCACCCCGGTGCGGGGGGCATTCGGGGGGGGGGGGAGCTCGGAGCTCGAAAGCTGCCCCCATCCTTGTCACCGTCCCCATCGCTGTCCCCCCCGTGCAGCCCCTGGTGTGATGAGGCAGGCAGGGCACAGCACGCATTGGCCTCATGCAGGGTCTGTCAGCAGCACCAGCATGGTCCCACATGGGGCAGAGGGATGAGGGGGGTCATGGCATGGAACCGCTGCCCTGCCTGACCCCCCAGCACCCTGCGGCCACAGGGCACCTTCCCCACTGTGAACCCATCCCACTGCCCACGCTGGGACCCTGGGATCCCCTGGAGTGGGCTCTGCAGGGTGAGAGGCTGGCAGCATCCTGGCCCCATGGGCATCCCTTGGCAGGGCCATGGGCCGGGGCTGCTGGACCTGCCACCGGCCCCACAACCTGTCCCATGTGTGACCATGGGGCACGCTCCAGCCCTAGGGGCTCTTTCGGTTTCGGCTGCTCCATTTTAACTGCTCCTCCTGCTCCCATCCACCGGACCCTGCAGCTTCCACAGCCCTTCCCAGGGGACACCCAGCCCTGCTCCTTGCTACTGCTGCCCCGGGCTGAGACCCCCTGGCCAGGGCTGAGCCCTGTCCATGGCTGCTCCCCAGGGCTGGAGCTGGGGGGCTGGCACAGTGCTGGACCCCCAGGGGACCCTGCGGAGGTACCAGGGCTGTGACACCCAGAGCTATGGGGACAACGGCAGGAGCTGGGCTGGGATCCGGCTCTTTGCCTCCTGGATCTGGGGCTGGGCTGGAAATGGGTTGGGTTGGGCTGGAAATGGGCTGGGCTGGAAATGGGCTGTACTGGGCCACACTGGGCTGTGCTAGCCTGGAAATGGGCTGGGGTGTGATGGGCTCTGCTGAGCCAGGCTGGGTTAAACTGGGCTGTTCAGGGCTAGACCTGGACCATGCAGGTCTGTGCTGGGTTATATTGCACACAGCGAGGCTGAAGTTGCGCTGGTGCACTGGGAGATGGGGTCGGGCCTCCTCATCCTTAGTGGGGCCATGTCTCTGTGCTGGGTCTGTAGATCACAGCAGCACTGAGCACCCATGAGGGCTGTGTCCCTGCAGGGTGACAGGACCACAGGCACCCTCCTCAGGGTCCCCATAACATCCACCACCATAACCTCCACCTACCCATGCGCTCACCATGCAGTGCCCTGTCTGCCCATCCTGGACCACCCCAGCACATCCCCATGGACCACTTCAGAGCGACTCCTCCATGCAGGCAATCACAGGGCAGTGCTGGGCAGCAATGGGGCACCCCACAGCCCCGGTGCCTGCAGCTCTCGCTCCTCTCTCCACAGGGCGGCCGGAGGGACCTCGGGGGCAACTGCCTGAAGGTGCGGGGGGTGACCCCGCTGCGGGTGTCGCGGAGATGAGCCGGGGCCCGGCAGCACCCGCCTGACACAGCGGCAGCGCCAGAGACCGCAGCGGGGAGGGAGGGAGCCGGAGCCCGCGATGGCGGCAGGGCCGCGGGCTGGCACCGCACCGGCACCAACACCGGCACCGACCCCGGCAGCGGGGCCGAGGCTGCCGGAGATGGGGGTCCCCGCGCCCCGGGGCTGCACTGGAAGGGGCGCGCTGGGGCCGGCGTCGAGGCGCTCCGGGCTGGGCACACGGTGCCGATGGCGGCCCCGCGGCGCTGGTTCTGCTCCTGCAGCGCATGGAAATAAACCGTATTTTTCTGATGGGCCGGTGCCTGCCTGAGCCCGGTGTGGGGCAGGGTGGGGGGCGAGGGGGCATGGACCCGGATCCATGGCACTGGAGCCAGTGCGATCGTCCCAGCTCTCCCCACATGGGGTGAGACCCCCAGGCACACGCTGGCGCCGCATCCCCAGCCCTTGGTGACAACTTTGGCTCTGCAAGGGTGACAGGAGCCCCAATCCCATCTGTGTTGTGCCGTGCCAGGGGATGGGGATGGCGCTGCCAGCCCTGTGCCGCAGCCATGAGCACCCAAGCGGTGGCTTGGGGTTGGTGTCGGTGCCTTTGTGCCTTCCCCAGTGCCTGGACTGCTGTGACTGCCACCACCACCACCGCCACCATCACCGCGATGGCCACCAATGGTCCCCACCAGTGCGACTGCCACCAACACCCTGCTGGTGCCACCAGCACCGGGATGGTCCCCAGCACTGCAGCTGCAGCCACCACCATTGCCACCACCACCAAGGCCGTGCGCGGCGGGGCTGCAGCGGCAGCACCTACACGGGGTCAGGCTGGGACAAGAGGGGTTCCCAGGCCCGGTTCCCCTGGGGAGGGGGCCCAGTTCAGCTGATGTCGGGGTCACCGGGCCTGGGAAAGGTGCCGCCGTGCCGAGCCCCACGGCTCCCATGGGCCTGCAGCTGCAGATGGGGCTGCCGGGGGGGGGGTCCTGCTCCATCACCCTGGGGTGCTGCAGCCAGTGGGGAGCATGGGGACACCGCGGGGTCCTGCAGGAGCCTCCCCTTGCCCAACCATGGGGCTGGGTGAAGGCAGGAGCCCAGCGGCACCTTTCCCCCCCCCCCCCGCATCCATCCCGGGCTCCCCCTTGGCCCGGGTTTGATTTATGGAGCTGACAGCGCGGCGCAGCTGTGAGAGCTGGTCCCAGGCAGGGAGCGGGCTGGGTGGGAGAGGTTTGTTCTCAGCGTGGATAATGCGTCCCAGGCCCCAAGAAACAGCCGTGAGATTCTCCAAACAGGCCGGGACACAGGATCCTGCCCCCGGCTTTAGCGGGGGGTGCTCTGCAAACAGCCTGACCCACACATGAAAGGGGGCTGTGCCCCTGAGGGGCAGCTACAGAGCCCCCCCCCCGGGCCAGTGAGGGCTGGTGGTCCCAGTGCCGGCGGCACAGCAGGGCCCAGCGCGCCCTGTGCAAGTCCCAGTGTGTCCCAGCCACTGGGGTGTGGGTCCCAGTGTGTCCCAGCGCTGAGCATGGGGGTCCCAGCACGTCCCAGTGAGCTCCAGTGTAAAGGCCATGGGATCCAGTAAGTCCCAGTGCAGGAGATGAGCACTCTGTATGTTCCAGTGTCAGGGACTGGGATTCCAAAAAGCCCCAGTGTAAAGACCATGGATCCCTGTACATCCTAGTGCTGGGACCATGGATACCAGTATGTCCTAGTACCAGGGACTGGGACTCCAGCAACCCCCCAGTGTAAACCATGGATTCCAGTACATCCCAGTACTGGAGCCACAGGTCCCAGCACATCCCACTGCCAGCAGTTAGGGACACAGCAAGCTCCAAAGTAACAACCATGGGTCCCAATATATCCCATCACTGGGGCTGCGCATCCCAACATGTCCCAGCACTGTGGTCACGGGTCCCAGCACGTCCCAATGCCAACCCCGCGGGTCCCACCACATCCCAGTGCCAAGCCCATGGCTCCCAGCACATTCCAGCCCCTCCCAGCACCACGAGAGGGAAACGGTGACTCAGAGGCACTGGAGCCCACAGGCCCTATGGGAGCCGGGTGCCCCTTTGCCCTGTGTGGGGTGAGCACCGCGGCCACCAGCACCCGAGCCCCAATGCCGGGCACCGCAGCCCCATGCTCCCCTCCCATCCTCTCCCCTTCCTGCGCTCGGACACCCTTGGAAAGGCTCTTGGCCGCTTTCTCTGAGACAGGAAGGTGTCCCCGAGTCTCAGGAAGGAAAAACACTCAGTGCTGAACCCACAAAGACCGTCTCCGAGGGGCCGGGGCTGGAGAGGCTCCAGGCCTGACATCACCTGGGAACTGGAACCAGGACCGCAGCTGCACTCCGCGCACGGGGTTTTTTTCTGTAACTTGTGTTTTTAAACTTTCTTTTTATAGAATTCTCCTTTTTTTTTTTTCTTTTTTTTTTTCCCCTTTCCCTTCTCCATTCCCCTCCCAAATAGTTCAGCCTCTCCAGCGAGCCTGGAATGCAGCAGGGCTGCACCCGCAGCCTGCACTGGTGGGATGGCCCAGGATGGGTCCGGATGGACTGGGCCTGCTGGAGCTATGGGCAGGGGTTCACTTCCCACTGATGGGGGACCAGGACCCCATATCCCCCAGCACCGCTGTGCACCAGGGATGGTGGGAAGCCATGTAGGGACCCAGGAGCGTCTGTCCAGCCATGGGGGTGGAGGGCAGAGGGGTCTGCACTGCTCTCCTGACTCACAGCCCTTGGGATGCGGCAGCAGGGTCAGACCATGTCTGAGCCCAAGTCTGGGCCTGACTCAGCCAGGCAAGAGGAGGCAGCTGGGGCCCGTGACACAGGGGCAGGTTTCAGCCTCAGGACCCAGCCCTCCTCAGGCCTTGTCCTTTGGCAACCCCTTTGGGTGCTGCCTGGCCCTCCCTGGGCTCATCGCAGCGCAGAGGCTCAAGGCAAAGACCCCAACGTGTCCTGCACCGGAGCAAAGCTCAGCACTCGCTGCCCAGGGAATCCTCCCTGTGGCACTGACCACAGCAATGGATTGAGCACCACAGGTCACCCCCGGCCCCATCCCATCTGTGATGCTCAGTGACCCCCAGGGTCTGGATGGCAGTGGGTGGGTAGAGGGGGATAAGGGAGGGAAGAAAGGGGACAGGTGGAGGAAAGGACCAGAATGGGCAGGTAGGGCTGGAATGGGAGAGGGGGGATGGGGTGGGGTGGATGGGATGGGGTGGGATGGATGGGATGGGGTGGAATGGGATTGAACGGGATGGGATAGATGGGATGGGATGGGATTGAATGGGATGGGATGGGATGGGGTGGGATGGATGGGATGGGGTGGAATGGGATTGAACGGGGTGGGATAGATGGGATGGGATGGGATTGAATGGGATGGGATGGGATGGAATGGGGTGGGATGGATGGGATGGAATGGGGTGGGATGGGATTGAATGGGATGGGATGGGATGGGATGGGATGGGATGGGATGGGATGGGGTGGGATGGGATTGAATGGGATGGGATGGGATTGAACGGGATGGGATGGATGGGATTGAATGGGATGGGATGGATGGGATGGGATGGGATGGGATTGAATGGGATGGGATGGGATGGGATTGAATGGGATGGGATGGATGGGATGGGGTGGGATGAGCAGACCAGGGGTCAGCGTGGAGGCCCCCACCTCTGATACTGCCCCTGCCAGCACCCTACCAGTGTCCCTGGGGGAGAACCAGATCCAAGGGTCCGCTTGAGACCCCCAGGACACACACCAGCTCCTCACCACCCCACCAAGGCCAGCGGCATCTCCACATCCCGGTGCCATCCCTAAGGGACACACAACCGAGGTCCCCCCCCTCGGAGCCGGTCACCCTGCCAGGAGCCGGTGCCAGGGGCGGTCCCGGGGGACACGGGCCCCGCCGGCAGGGACAGGGTGTGAAGCGCGGTGCGGGGTGAAAGCCAGGTTAATCTCCCGCTGGAGCTTCCCTCTGCAAACAATAAGACAATGCCCGGCCGGGGCCGCCTGCGTAACGCGGAGGGGAAGTTGTAATATTTGCATTTAGCACTCAGTCAATTAAGGCAGAAAGAGGAAAAAGCGCTGGGGGTAATCAGAGCCCCGCTGGCCCCGTGCCCTGCCCCACGGGGCTCAGCCCCACAAGCCAGCATGAGCAGGAATGGATGGGAAGGGAGCTGTATCCCTCGATGGACGCATCCCCATCGCTGGGGCGTGCAGCCGCGGGGTGCTCACGGGCAGCACTGGCAGCAAACACGGATCTCCTGCAGCACCAGAGAAGGGATCTGGGCCTGGAGCTTATTTCAGTCCAGACCTGCCCATGGGGATGGATCTGCAGCTGGAGGCGGCCGAAAAGGAGAGGTGATGGGGATGCTCACCTCCAGCTTGTTGGGGGTCCGGGGATGGACCTGGGCTAAGGGCAGCTCTGCAGGGCTGGGGCTCTGAGCTACATCCCCCTGGGCAGCAGGGCAGAGGGTACACGGGGCTGGACCAGGGGTTCGGGATGGCACCATCCCCTCCTTGTCCCCGTGTCCCCCATTTGCGGACCCCAAAGTGGGGGTCCCGGTGCAGCAGGGCTGGGGCAGCGGCACGGGAAGGCCCTCGGCACGAAGCCGCACACCGGGAGCCCATTTCCCCCCCTCAACAGGGGCCGTTATCAGCGGCCAATCCTCAGAGCGGTCCCAGGGGGAACCTTCAGCCCTTCCCCTCCACCTACCCCAGCGCTCTCCCGCTCCGGCCCACGTCAATGCGGGCGCGAAGGTGTCGGAACAATCGCCTGACAAAGAGCTATTTTTAGGGGCCGGGGCTCGGAGCGGGGATACGGCCCCGCCGCTGACAATGGGGGGAAGGGGGCCGGGCTTCCCCCCGCCCGCACTCGGCAGCAGAAGGACCTGGAAGATTTCCTCGATGACCCAGGCCCGTACAATACAAGGAAAGCGGCAGAGGGAGATACCCCCGCCAGGACGAGCTGCTCCTTTACCTAATGGGAGTGACCGGGGTGAGGGGCTGGGGGACCTGGGCCAGCGGCGTCCCCCGGGGGAGATTCCACACCCCGGGGGGGGGGTGAAATGGGGTGAAGCGTGGCCGTGCTCAGCTCTCCATGAGGCCATGGACAGCGGGGCCGGGCTGGCTCTGCCTCATTGCTGCGGGGCATGGAGGGGCTCTGGGCTCGGGGGGGGGGGTGGTCAGACATGGCTTTCACACATCCCAACACGTCCCAATGGGCTCTGGTGCTTGGCCCGGCCATGGTGGCTGTGACCAGCCCAGGGTGCGTGTCCCCATCCAGCCCCACTGCAGGGCGCTGAGAGCCGCGGTGCAGCCCTGCCCTGGGGGGCTCGGGGCGGAGGGGCCGGGCTGTGCCCCGCTGTTTACCCCCATCCCCAGGGGCTCCCCGGCTCGCCCCGCGGCCGAGGGCTGGGTGCCCGGGGCGCTTGGCCCATCCCTCGGGGAAAAGCCGATCCCGGGCCTGCACGACCGGAAACCGGGGTTGAACCGAGCGACGGGCACCGGCTGCGGGCCTGGCTCGGCTCCGCGGGCCGCAGTTGCCACCTGGCGGCGAGCTCCGGGCATGGCCCCGCCAAGGGCCGCCCGCCGCCGGCCCCTCGGGAGACTGCAGAGCGGACCGGGACCGAGACCGGGGTTGAAAGGGGGGGAGAAAGAGCACGGCTAAGCTCCCCACCGGGACCAAGAGGCGGGGGAGGCAGACACGAGCGGGCCGCGCTGGGCTGCGGGCCCGGCCTCTCCTCACGGTGCGGGCTGAGCCGCGGGGCCGTGTCCCGGTGCGGGCAGCCCGGGATCCCCCCGCCCCGCGGCCCGGTACCGCCCCGCCGCGGACTACAACTCCCATGAACCTTTGCGGCGCGGCACCCCTCCCCTCCGCGTACGCTCCCCGCCCCTCCGCGGCTCGCTGCGCTATTTCCGGTTCCGGCGCGCCTCGCTTTGGTCCCTGCGGCTGGCGGCCGAGCCTTGTGCCTCCGCCATATTGTCTGTGTGCGGCCGGCGGGCGGGCGGCGAGCGGCGGCCGTGGCAGGTACCGGCGGCTCCGGCGCCGCTCCCGGGACTCCGCAGGCGGCGGGGGGGGAGGTGCTGTGTCCCTTCCCCCGCTTCCCTCGCACTCCCCTGCCCCTTCTCCGCTGCGGGCGCTGTGCGGGCGGAGGGGCCGGGGCCGCCCCTCAGGAAGGCTGGGCCGCGGCGGGGGGCGCTGAGGGGGAGCGGGAGGCGGTGGCGGTGCAGGGGGGGGGAGCGGGCGGGCGGGCGGGGCGGACAGGGCAGGGCCTGCGGGGGGAGCCGGGCAGGGCGCGGCGGGAGGGGCGCGGGTTGGAGCTTTCGCTGCCCCCGACACGGCCCCGGGGCTGCTCCGGTAGCGCAGGCACGGCCAGGCCCCACGGAAGTGCGGCCTTCGCGGCCCCCCCCCAGTTCCTCCGGCCCGTACGGTGTAGGTGTTATTTACTCCAAAGGCTCCGTCTCGCCGCTTCCCCGCCCTGCCCGGCAGAGCAGGGGGGTGCGGGGGGGTCTGGTTGTGCTCGCTCCCCGCCTTCAGCCGCGCAGGGGCTCGGTTCTGGGCCTTTCTGGGCGGAGGGGAAGGTCGTTCACACGGGTCTCAGCACCAGTCGCTGCTCTCTGCAGGCAGTAGTGGTCAGTCTCGGCCCTGCTGTGGTTGTGCCTCGGGGCAATAGGCTGCGGGGTTGTTGGTGAAATGTGCTTTGTGAATGAGGGGGCAGATAAGATTATGAAGGCCCGTGTGTGGTGTTTGGTTAGAGCACTTTGTTCTTTCTTACTGAGGGCTGTGGGTGCAACCAGTAGAGCTTGGGTTATAAGCACTCACTCGCTGGTATGTTTTCTGCTGACAGCAGTGGTTAATCTATGCAGAAACTCATGAGGTCAAGTGCCTCATTTCTGCATTCTAAATTTATGGATCTTGAGCCCACATCGTGCCATGGGCTGCTCCTTGGTGCCTGTGCTGAGCCCTGCTACGTGCCAGAGGCCTGCAGTGGTGTGGGGTCAGTGTTGGGCCAGCCTCCTGCTGGGTTGGGGTTTTGCAGAGCTGCTCTTGCAGCTCGATGCAGGGCATTGAACCTGGGTGCCGTGCACGGCTCCCCAAGTGTGCTCACCTGGGCTGTGGGAGCTCTGCCCTCCTTTGGGAAGAGCAGCTCATTCCCTGTCTTCAGGTGAGCACTCACTGGAGGTAGAAGCACAGGGAGACAGCAGCATTTCTGCTGGGGGCAGGCAGTGATTTAGGCTGTTCTTTGACTCTCTCTTTTCAAAGACTTAAGAGTTGCTCAGGATATGGAGGCTCAGAGTTGGTGCTGTGCTGGATTGGCAGTGGCCTGGGTGTGGATGTGACTCTGCCAGTGTGGATCCTGGATTCCCTGGGTTGGTGCAAGGAAGTTGCTTGTTCTGTGCATTGTTCATGTTGGTGTAACATAGAAAAGGGTGAAGCTCGTGCTGGGAGAGGGGAGACTGAGCTTGGGAAGATTATACAGGATTTAGGGAAAGTGTGAAGCTTGATCAGCTCCTTAATTAGGCCTAAAACTGGGATTAGGGCAGTGTTCCAGTTCTTAAAGCACTGTGTCATGTGGGGGTAAAACATGGAACAGTGGCACATCCTCTGTGGAGACACACGCTGTGACTGCAACTGGGGAAAGAAAACTGGAATGGGATGTGGCTCCCACTGACAGCATCCAATCCCATGTTCAGAACAGTCCACTTTCACCCTCAGAAGATCCACCCATGTCTCGTGGCTGGAAGTCCTGTTCTTCGGTGCCTCCAGCCAGAGAAGGGCTTATGGAAAGATCCAGACTATTGAGTATGAAATGTGTACATCTCTGGTGTAGGCAGTGATCCCTCAGTGGAGAGAGTTCCCTTTTTCACCTTTCTTTCTCTGTTGCCTGGTTTCACTAATAGTAAAACCTTTCCTTGTCCTGTGGTGCCCAGCATGGGCTGCAGCAGAGAGCTCAGTGAGCTTGCAGAGGCACTGCTGCCCATGAGGAGTGGAAACAGGGCTGAACCCTGCAGTGAGGAGGGTAGCCTCAGCCTTGCAGCAAGAAGGGTAATGTTGTCTCAGTGTTGGCCATAGCAAAGAAGGGAGCTGTTGTGCTGAATAACTGAGTAACACAAGGGTGGGTATGAGGCCCTGAGCATGGAAAAATGTGGTGAGAGGGTCAGGTGCTGAAGGAGAAAGTGGAGATCTCCAAGTGGAAGCTTCAGAGCAAGTTCTCTGGTTTGCCAGGGCACTGGGTTCATGATGGAGCAGGGATGGGATCTGTTGGCAACATGGCTCTTTGGAAGAGGGAGAATGAAATTTGTGGTAGGTTCTAGCACACGTGGAGGAAGCTGGACCATGATGGGGAAACCGTTCATGACATGAAGCAGAGTTTAGTTGTGTGCAGGGGCACTGAATGGCTCTTGTTTACTGGAAAGCAGCTGATGCAACATTGAGAATGAGGATGCAAACGCGGGAGTGGGGAATTGCTGGGGAAGGACCTGGGAAAATGCTGGTCCCTGAAGGCGAGGCATGGAAAAACTTCAGTACTTGAGGTTTGGATGTTTTCAAATAGCGCAGGTTGGGAGCACAGGCTTGATGTGGGTTTGAGGTGGAAATCTTAGGAATGCAGGAAGCCAAAAGGTGTTTATAAATGTGTGGAATTGTAGAGGAAAAGCTGTGATAAAAGGGACAGGGATGCAACTTCTCCTGCTTTGTTGTCTGGTGTCCTCACACCTTCTGCTGGAATTTTTCCCTGCATTTTCTCCTTACAGAACTAATTTTCTCTTTCTCTCTGTCCTCGTGCCCTCTGAGGGATCAGGCAAAGGAAGGCAGAAGCAAATGGGTGACATTGTGGTGGTGTGATTAATTTCATGGCACATTTCTGAGGAGGCAGGGCTTTATTTCTGGGTTACCAGACCTGGCTCCTCCACTGCTCAGTTACTTACGTTGGGGTGTCTGTTCTATAGACTCAGGATGAGGTTGAGGCCATCTTAGATCTTATTGTTCCACCAGGGTCTAGAGAGAATGAGCCCCCCAGATGTAAGATCGGGAGGGTCTGTGCCTCACTGTGGCTGTGAACATTCCCTGGTTTCATTGCAAGATGACTCTTGGATAACTTTTCTGAGCTTGGATATCTCCTTCCAGGGGCTTCCAAGAGCTGACTCCTGGAATTTACAGAACCCGATTGGAGAAAAAGAGTTCTCCTTTGGACCTGGAAAAACTGCCTTGGAAAGGAGACTGCCGCTTCCTGCACTGTTGCTGAAAGCAGAGGGGGTTTTGGACCCTGTTTTTTTGGAC